CTTTAAAAAAATGATTTTAGAGAAGGAAGGAGAGAGAGAGAGAGAGAGAGAGAGAGAGAGAGAGAGAGAAAGAGAGAGAGAGAGATTGTTCCACTTATTTATGCAGTCATTGGTTGATTCTTATATGTGCCCTGACTGGAGATGGAACCTACAACCTTGGTGTATTGGGACAACGCTCTAACTAACTGAGCTACCTGGCCCGGGCAGGAGGCATTTGCCCTATGTTTTCTTCCGTGGTTTGCCCTAAGAGTTTTATTCTTTAGAACATATGTGTAGGTCTGTGAACTCTACTCTAACTGAGCTACCCGGCCCGGGCAGGAGGCATTTGCCCTATGTTTTCTTCCATGGTTTGCCCTGAGAGTTTTATTCTTTAGAACATATGTGTAGGTCTGTGATCCATTTAGAGTTAATTTTTGTATATGGTGTAAGGTAAGGGTTCAATTTTATTCTTTGACATGTGGCGATCCAATTTTTTCAACACCATTTGTTGAAAAGAATATTCTTTTCCTGTAATTCCATTTTTGAGAGTCATATTTCCTTTTGGTCTTTGTACTGTGCTTATCTATCTATCTATCTATCTATAATTTTTCAGAGTTGAGATCACATGGGATAGATTAAGGAGGAAGGTCAGTATACAGTATTTAGTTTCTGAGTCCTGCCTTTTAACACATTTTCCCCAGAAACCTCAATGAAGTGGTCTTCATTCATCCTATAGATATTCCAGGTGCCCATGGTTTAGGAGGGACTGTCAGTTGCTGAGTGTGCAGAAATGATTCAGAGGGGGTCACTGAACAATTATCACGGGAGGAGCCACAAAGATCTGATAAAGGGAAATGGAATAGAGGTAGGAGCGGTGTGGTACCCAGGAAAGCTGGGGAGGCTTCCCAAAGGGGGCGATATTTGAGGTGGCACTTGAAGAAAAGACAGAGGAGGGGAAGGCTGACAACAGGGAGTGTGCAAAGGCTCAACAAGGAGGCGGGAGAGAGTCCTGTATGGCTTGGACCAGGGTGCTGAAAACCAGAGACGGGCAGCGAGGATGGAGGTGTGAGCCACTTGATAGAAGGCCTGACCTGCCAGGTGGGGAAGCTGTGGTTCACCCTGGAGACCACAAGGAGCCTCTGGAGGCCTGGAGGGAGGGGAGGGACATGGGCCACCAGATGTGACGCACAGTCACAGGTGCAAACAACTGAGGACAAAAGCAAGGGACAAATAAGTAAATGAACGAGGGAGTGCTGGACCCACTCTTCTTCAGAAACTGAGGCTCACCTTCCCCCACAGCAGGTCTGTAATTTCCAGGGGTCCTGGAGTGAGGTCCTTGTCTGTGGTTTGTTCCACCAGATCAGCTTTCCAGAAGCCACTTTAAAGAAGCCACGGAGGCCACCAGCTTTAGGGGTCTTTGCTTCTTGCTTTGAAGTGGGAGTGGGTGGAGAAAAGGAAGTTTTCCAGAAAATTCCTTGAGACAGCCTCCATGTAAATATCTGGTAAGGTCTCGGACTGGGAAGCCCTTCTCTGAGGCTGGGGAGCTGAGGGCCCGCTGCAGGGGGCTGTTCTGCCGCCAGACCATGCGGGGAGGGGCCTTGCTGGTGGGCCTCCCACAGACCCTGAGCTCTGTGTCCCTCTCTCCTCCCCATGTGGCTTCAGGGCTCTGTCCGGAGAGCACTCCCCTCCTCAGGCCTCCTCTTTGGCCTGTGCCCTTTGCCCCCGCCCTGCCTCTCAGGACCGATCTCTTAATGAAAGCCTTCTGTGGGGAGGTCACGCAGCCTGGCTGTGGTAACAGAGGCCTCGTGGGGGACTGGGCAGAGGAAGGAAAGGGGAGGGGTTGGGGAGGGGCAGGGCCCCAGCCCTCAGAGCAGGAGCAGATGGCGAAGAAAAACACGGGCTTGTTTGTCTCTCTGGGGGTCCAGTGCTAGTACAGGATGGAAGTTTCTTTGGTCTCTGGAGTTTGCTTACACACAAGCACATATGGAAGTGTGTGCGGGTGTGGACAACCCCCTTTGTGCTGGAAGTGCTGAGGCCTGAATGGGGTTCTGGTTATTGTTTGCCTTCCCCAGGGCCTGACTTGGGGGTGTGAATTCAACCAGGGCCGTGCTGTGACCCACCCAGGCCCTGCCTATGCTGGGTGTGTCAGTGAAGGGTCCTGGGCAGTGATAGGGTGCCGGTGATGGCCGGACCCAGGAGATTTCAGGAGGAAAGGCGAGTCTTCACCTTCCTTGTCAGTCCTTGCAGGTCTCCAAGATGCTCTGTGGGAGGAGTGATCTCTGCATCTGGACCCAATTTTAGAGCATTTCACATTCTGCAGGTTCCATGTTGGGGCTAAACACTGACCTTTGGAGTTTTAGGCTGACCACGTGTGCTTGGGTTTGTTCCTCATTTTAGGGCAGAGGTCCTCAAACTTTTTAAACAGGGGGCCAGTTCACTGTCCCTCAGACATTCCACACATGCGCACTGCGGGCCCGGGACGAGTCGGCTGCTAAGCAGGACAGGCAGCGGCGGCAAAAACACCCGGCGGGCCGGATAAATGTTTTCGGCGGGCCACATGTGGCCCGCGGGCCGTAGTTTAAGGACCCCTGTTTTAGGGGCAGGTATTGGTCTCCCTCCTCCCCCCACTACACACAAGAAAAAGGCTGGGAGACCAAAAGGGTCTTGTGGGAGGTGATGTCGCTGGGGTGTGGCTGAGCCAGGACTGGAATCTGGTTTTCTGGCTTCATATCCTGCGTCACCTGCATCATTCAGCTTAAGGTCTGTATTTGGATTGATGGAGTGGCAGGGTGTAATGGCACACCGTGCATTGATAGAACATGTGAGGTATATACGTACATTTACTCCTCTCAGTTCCCGAGAGGAGGGCGCATGCCCAGCCGCACAGGACCACCTGGGAAGCACCAGGTTTAGTGGGGAGTTGAAGTGGGGGGTGGAAAAATAGCTTTTGTTGTGGCTTTGGGAGGAAGGAACAGGTGAGGGAGGGGAAGCAGGTTGGGATGGGCTAGTCTGCATCGTTTCAGTGGGCTCTGGGGTTGGAAGGCTGGTCCCCAGTTGTCTGGTACCTGGTCCTGGGTCTTTAGGGCAGGGGGTAGTTCTCAGTGGGAGAGCTCCATCAAGGAGGCGGTTGGGTGTGGACTCTGGCTGGATTGGTTGGTTTGTATTTGAAGAGCATGCCCTGGGGGCAGGACTGGAGAGGGGGGGCCCAATGAGGGAGCAGGAGGCCAAGGCAGGGTGACTCAGGTTGTCCGGAACACGGAGTGTCTGGCATGTACATGTAGGGCAGGTGTTAGAGCGTCAGGTTTATAGAAACCAGAAACATAGCTAATACACAGGGTCCAGTGTGTGCCCATCTCTGGGTGTTGCCAGCTTAGGAGCAAGCACAGATGTAGCTGTTGGGGGTTGGAGGAGCCACGGTGAGGCAGGGGCACATGTTATTGCTATGCAGTTAATTATTTAATTATTTGTTTAATATCTGTGTTCTCTGTTGGACCATGAGCGTTCTGAGCAGCTTTGTCATGCTCACTCCCGTGCATGGAACATCCTAGATGCCCAACTACAATGGCAAACACTTGAATTGGTGGTTACTATGTGCCAAGCGGTGTACTAAGTGTGTTAGGTACATTATTAACTCATTTATTCCTCACAAATGAGCCTATGGGTTAGGTGCTATTATTATCCCAAATTTATAGGGAAGCTGAGGCATAGGGAGGTTGAACAGTTTGTCCCCGGTCACACAGCTAATAGGCGCGGAGCCGGGATTTGAACCCAGTTCTGTCCACATCTGTGCCCTTAATCATTGTGCTACCCTACCTCTTGGTGCTTGAGAGTGGAGGTTGAGTGATAAAGGATACACAGATGAGGAGGATGTGGTTCATCCAGTTGGGGGAGCGCACCCATGTCTGCGCCCATACTGGGTTGTGGGGGTGCACTCTCGGAGTCAAGCTGAGCAGTGTGGGAGCACAGAGGCAGGTGGAGGGGGTGGGGAGGAGAGCGGGTCTGAGAGGCAGGAGGATATGAGCAGCGGGTCTGAGAGGCAGGAGGATATTAGGCGGAGGAGTGAGAGGTTGCTGTGG